TTCCTGGCACCCAAGATAAAATTCTAGCTATTTGAATGGAAACTGATGTAGTATAAACTGAGGTGAGCCAGAAGTGTCCTATCTTTTTTGTCTGTTGGTAAATAATCTATTGTCTATTGGTAATAATTGGTAAATAATACACTTTGAAGTATATAGTCAATAGATTTACCAGGTAGGGAAGACTTCTTGAAGCACCTTCCCTGGTACAAGGTAGGAAAAGGAGATTCTTGATGGCTTTCTGAAAAATCTTACTTTGTAGTGTCACAGGGAAACATCTAGGCTTTTTAGGGACTGAGCTTATTGCTTTATTCCTCTTTCTCTCAGGATCAAATCTCAGGGTTCAGAACACCTCAGCTGTTGTACAAAGGCACAGTAATGAAAATGCACATCTTATATCAAGCAAATATATAGAAGGAAAATTCTCCTTAATTCTCTTAGAAAACAACTAGGTAATATCATCTCTAAAACAGCTCAAAAACACTTTGGTTCTTAATACTGGGAAAGTCTTTCACCCTTAGATCTATGAACAGGTAAGGTGAGTGCACCTTGCTCTGAACAGGCATCGAAGTCCACATATCAAAAGTTGTCCTCCCCATACTAAACAGACTCCATACACAGAGTTCAGAGATGTCATACAGCACATTAAAACATCTGTTACATGGTCAGTGGAAGCCTGGATCCTAAGTCTTCTGCAGCCAAAAGTGAAAAAAAATATCAATCCCAGGGAAGAAACAGTTATACTCAGCTATCTTTGTACAAAGCTTGCTAAGAAATTATACTTAGTGAATTATTTCTTACCTCATAAAGAAATTGTGAACATTTAGGGGTTATTATTGTTTCACGACTCAAACAGGAGCCTGAGAACAGTGATAAAAACTTCAAAACAACTGGATCAAAAACCATAAAAGCATGAAGACAAAAAGGGACTGACATACTCAACAGCCATTGAAAGAGCTTTACTAAGATTTCTAGAGACTACTGAGGTGAGCAACCTAAAAAAGACATAGATTTAGTCCTACTGAATTATAGAAATTATACACCAGGGAAATATAGGGTTGGAAGAGCCACAGAGGCAAGCTGGAAAGAACTTGGAAAGTTCTACTCTTGATGAAATGTCCTTCACTTACCACAGACCTGGAAAAAGTTGCTGGAAATTTTCAGTAGAAGAACACCAGCAGTGAGGGAATGTATCAGTGGGCTATGCCTGTCATAAGGGAAACTTATGGAATATTTCTAAAGCCAGGTTGTGAACTTGGCACCTTGAGCAAACATTAGCTCTTGCTATACAGAACACCCTGGTATTCAAGCCTATGGCTATGAATGATGCAAAATACATCTATAAATTTTGAAAGATATTTAATAATTCATGTCAACACCTCATCCTTAGCACCAGAAAAACATCCATTTCTAAAATTCAGAAAATATCATGACTGAAAATAAAATCTAAATTAATAGTTTAAAAAATTGTGTTCAGAGACTGAAGGAAAGTGGGCACTTCCATCTGAGGATGGCGTTGTAGTAGGCACTATTCAGTTTCTATTGAGCACATATTCAACATAGTGATAATACCAACTACCACAGCTCGCACTTACCAACAATTTCACTGGACTCCTTATTGTAAAGTTTTTTGTTCCAGTAAAGCAGTCTGAGAAAAGGAAAGGAGACCAGAACAACAAGGCAGATGCCAACGAACATATGCCCTGTGAAGGCTGCAAAATCCAATCCCTGGAAATAAAAATGAAAAATTAAATTAAAAATATGTTATTTTCCTGTATTACCTACAGGGAAAAGTATTGATATATATGTAATTTAACAATCAATAATAAATATAAAGCAATAAAGTAACTTCAAAATACAGTATATGCTGTATTTCATCTGTTTCAAGGAGATGAGCCACATTACAATTTAATTCAGAGAACTAAAAAATATCATTACAAATTATTTTTAAATACATTTAGTGATCCTGACATGGATAGAAAACAAAACTAAACAAAACTAAATAAAACCTGAAACATTAACTTTAATTGTCATAACTTAATTCACTGTAAATTCATTTTAAATCACTCTGAATCACAGAAATAGTTAGGTTTTAATGACTTGCTTTTGTTTTAAACTGATAACATGGATTTTTACAATTCTATCTGAACCAGGATTTCATCTAAATTTACAAATAATTCTTCTACAATAAAAATATTATATATCAATATTCTGTTTATTTTTCTGCCTGCTTAATAAATGGACACATCTCTTTACATTTTGCTTAATGAAACTCTTTAATAAAGGGATTCTTAAAAAGGTTAAGCAGAATATACTAAAAAGCTACTGTTTTAAGCAATAAAAATGAATAGCGACCACCCACCCTAAAGCTTTCAAGTTAGCCATGCTTTGATTAGGACATTAGACTAGGTGACCTCCAGTGCCCATTTCAATTTAATTATTCCATATTTCACACACTGATCTGTGGATCAGAGTTAGCCTTTGGGCTGGCACTTTCTGAAGCAGTCATGACCAGCCTGTCCAAAAGAAGTTATCCATGAAGCTCCAAGGAGTACTCGGGTAGCAAGGAACTGTCATATATTCATAGAGCAGAGGTTGTCTGAACTGGGATCCCAGTAGAGTAGCTACTTTCTTCCAGTGTAGAAGAAAGCATGATACAAGCCCTGGATAGCTCAGGTTGTCCAAACTGAATTTTCAGACCATCCACTGATTTCCCAGAGACCCTAGAAAGTCATGGGATCTCCCTATGCCACACCTCTATGTCTCTATAGTAACTTCCCTTTACCAAGTACCTGTGTGCTACCTGTAGATCTAACACAATTAGTTAGCTAGACCTAAAACAGTTTCCCATGCAGCATCAGCTGATATTACCTCCTGTGTGTTAAAACTATTGGAGACTTACTACCTTAAATGTATGTCATTCTATATTGTCTCCTACTAAAAGAATTTATGTGGAAATGTCCCAGCTGAAATGTCTGCAGTTCAAAAAAGGGAAAAAAATGTTTCTCTATTGCACCACAGGGCATAATAAAAAGACACATGACACAAAAAACTGATTAAAGCCATAAAGAACTTTCATAGCCAGATAAGGATTAGTACTCTTTTGCAAAAAATCCATAGATTGCAGACAGACAAATAAATGTCATAACATAAATATGCAGAGCTAGGATTAGAATCTGATCATATCAAAAATACAGGTTTCAGCTTCACAAGCTAAAGAAAATCATCCTCAGTTACTATTTAACAGTAGATTTCTTGCCTTTTTTACTTTCCAGCCCCTAACTGTATACTTGGTTATTCACTGGCCTTTCATTATAATTCAGCTACTGGTGTTTCTTCTATAAAAGTAGAAAGAAGACTCTTCAGGAATTGTAATAAGATTATTTAAGGAAAAAAAACAAACCAACATGATACCACAAAAGAAAATAATATACTTTCATTCAGTTTGCCTACATAATAGGTAAAACAGTCAAATGTCTGACATCTCTGCAAGACAGACTTTACAAGTAAATTTTTATAAATGATTGGAAAGATTGGCCTCTGGGCAGCAATTCAAGATTCAGAGCCACAGGAGACATTCTATGAAGAATGAAATCAACATTCATAACTCTAGGAAATTTTCAAATAGCAATGAGAAAAAAAAAAATTAAATTCTGCAAAAGCTCAATGTTTGTAAGACCTGCTCCAAAAGTATATAAAGTCCATAGCCCCAATGTGTATCTCCTTAATTACAATGATTTAAAATTAATAATAAATCTAACATATATGTGTTGCCTCTGAGACTATAGCCAAAAAGGAAGATCAGAAAATTTTGTCCAGAAAAATCAGAATTCTTAAAAGCAAGGTGAACTGGCCTTGGTTAGTAAATTTCTCAAGTATTGACAACGTGCCATTAAACAGTTCTGAAAGTATGGAAAATAAGGATTCAGATTTACATGATCTCTAAAATGAGCTAAGGAGAGGCAGGAAGCTGAAAGAAATTAAGCTGTAAAAACACTGAAGCTACTCCCTCCAAAATAGCAAAGCCTAAATCTGACAGGGGAAAAAAAAATATCTTCTGAAAAATGAAATTACTGGGAAACAGCTAGTTGAGGAGCAATGAGAGTTGATCAGAATATACTCAACCCAGGATTACCAGAACTGGGAAAATTACTTTTGCATTCAATTTAGTCTTAAAAAGAGCAATGGACAAGAAGTTTTTCTTAGGCTGGCAGCAAAGTACACGTCACAAAGAAGGATGCCAGCTACCAGGCAGCATATGCCAGCAGAAAATCTCTGCAGACATACCCAGGCATAAAGCTAATTTCCAATGTAGGAAATAAAAAATAGAAATAGGAACCCAAAGAATACTTGGAAACTCTCAACTTTAAATATGTGATGTCTCCATCATATGTTAATGGAACTTGAATCTAAGGAAGTGGCTTATTGCAAACAAGCACAAAGATTCACAAAGTCACTTGCTTCTATGTTTTGAATATCACATCCATTTCAGAGCAAAACTGTTGTGCTTTGTTACTGAAATGCCACAATAAGAAGCTTCTCAAACAAAAAATACAGCTCGAGATATATGCCACTTGAAACCCACAAAACTAATTTCTCTATGAAAAGCAAAATCACATCATCCTAGAAGGCAAACTAAAATGCTGAGGTTAAGAAGGAGATCTCAGATCTGACTGATAGCTGAAAGGGGTTTAAATGAGATGGAGACCACAATACTCTTAAAAAAAAAATCAGGATTAACAGAGCTTTGTGACCAAAGAGCTGACAGAGGTGAGCCTTAAAAGTGATTTGGAGACACCAACACAAGAGGAAAACAATTTCTACTAGACTTTTTGGCATCCTATTCAGGAGCTTACCCAAACTCTTCAAAGAGAGTAACTAGGCTAAGATTCAGGATTTTGTGTAAACCTCATAATGTCACCTCATTGATCTTTCTTATCTCTGAGATCCTTAGGGGAAAAAGAAAACATACTGCTCCACTGTGACTGTGGAAGAGCTTTCCAATTCAGCTGTAACAAATTGTCTTCTAGCATGGAGCACACTTATTTCAGGTAAGAGCTTGCATGAGAGTAATGCCTGTGATAGTACAAGGCTGGATTCAATTCTCTTCCCATCCCTCGCTCCCAACTTTCCTTCCCATTTCCTCCTTGCATTGATCCACAAGAGCCAGTAAGTGACATAAATCCTGAAAATCACTAGCCTTGGACAACTCGTATCCTGGAGCCACGAGGAGGCTTAGGAAGGACTACAAAGTGTACTTCTTTTTATGGCTGATATCAGAAGGGTTCATGGTGAAAGAGACCATAATACATTTTATTCCTCCCGAGTTCTCTGCACTTCTGGGGCCAGGATTCAACACTGTAAAAACACATTAAAGTGATCCACATGTCTGCTGCATACAACAGAATGCCATTTTCGTAAAGACTTTCTTTTTCCTGCACAATGGACTGAAAAAGAATTGACATGCACAATAAGCAAGAAATACTTTTCTTCCAGGAGATTTCAATCCATCAGAAAAACACAATACATGCTTCAAACGTCCCTTACTTGAGGCTATGCTGATTGTGTTAAATTTCTCCCATTCCCCAGTCGACAGAAAATCTAAAGATTTAGTTTTAGCAAAACAACAGCCTAAAGGTTCCACTGCCTACAGATTCAGAGCTAAAACAGAGTGGGAATCTTTCCTTAGTTTATAACTTCGAATGCGGAGTCAAATATTTGAATTTCAAATTAGGAGGAAGTATCATACTATTTTCCTAACATAAAAATTTTCTGTCACCAATTTTTTTTTTTTTTTTTTTTTTTTTACTGCTTTCAGAGATGTGAAATTAACTTCTAGTAATTCAGACCTTTCCAGAGGAAATCTGCCATTTTAGTGCAAAGAGAAAGAAAAATTATAGCTAGGTGCAGCAATTCAGGGAGCAGTAAATACTATGCTTCTAGTCAGAATGCCTTTTACTTAATATTTTTAAAATTAATAAAATGAGGAAGAGCAAGAGTAATTTATTATTTCTATACTGGTTTAAACATCCCCTCTGACTGAGTGACTGAGATCAACATTGTCTCAGGAAGAACTGCTCATGACATTGCTGAGCCAGAAATCACTGATGGTCTAACACAGTTACGTGAAAATAATGCTTATCTGAGACACTGACAAACCTACTTTATTGTCTGGCACTGTACTCTTTAATGATTACTACATGCAGAGACAGGAAAAAATCTGAAATCAGCCATAAACCCATAAATTTTCTTTCATATACCTTACCTATGATTTCATTATTTTTCTTGAGAAAAAGAATCAATGACAGAAAGGGCAGGACTTTTACAAATTGATTAAAAGTTTTAACAATCTGTATCCAGCAAACTCAACAAAAATGCTTAGTAAACTATGGGAATCCATTTCACAATCTGCCAGTGCTTGAAATATTTTTATAGATTCATATATAGGATTTTCTCTCTTCCATTTTTCAGAATTATCTACTTCTATTCATCAATTTTTGGCACCACCATTTTTTCATGAAATGTAACCAACTAATACCACAACATGCTAAATTTCAGAATGAAGGCTGAAAGTCTGCAAAAGGCAGAACAGGATATCCTGATGGCTGTCTCTTTTCTAGGGAATTTCTGTTAAATGGCAGGAATAACTGAGTGTGATGCTAAAAACCCAAAATCCTCAGCAAACATCAGATTAACACTAAGAGCTTTATCAGACATTAACAAAGAGAGTAAATAAAAGGTTATAATCCAGTGCCTAGCACATGCTAAAACTGCCTTTGCTCTTATAATTTTGATAGATTAAAGATAGATACACTAGTGCACACTATGTTCACACCATTGTTTTGCTCTGGAGACCTTTTCCACCATCCGTTCTCTAAAGATCTTGTAATCCAAGCTTAGAGCACAAGCAACTTCTGATTTCAAAGGTGTGACTGTAGATACTCGTGAGGTTCCCAAATATAGAGGACTTAATGTTCAACCTTTATGAAAGCAATGACCATTTCGAACCGGTCCATGTCCCATTGTGCATATAAAAATGGAGTTCTTAAAGTCTGTAGCACATACCTCTTCAATGCTCTGAAGGTAATAAAAGATTTTTTAAAAAATTGTATTCACTAAATGAGTTTTCCATTTGCTCTTAATGAAAACTCTTATTTTCCTCGTCTAATATTACAACACAAATGCAATTTTGTGAGACTTCTTCCCACTCCAACTAAAAACAAGCAAAAGTACAACAAATCTTTCTCCCCTATTATACAAATGTTCCACTGATTCCAGGCATGATGGTAGGGAAAATGTCAGTATTATAAATTAACCATTGCTACAAAGAAAAAATCCTTTTGGCATCCATTTGTGCCTCGAGACAAATAAACAGACTTATCCCTACATTTTAATGAGTAAACTGTAACAAAAAGCTTACTTATTCAAACATATTTAAATAAAATATTCTAAAGCTTATTTATTCAAACATATTTAAATAAAATATTCTTAATATGCCATGCATTTTCCTCAGAACCTAGGGAGAAAAATCTCTTCAGCACTACAGTAAACAAAGAGTAAATAATTTCTAACACTATAACCCAATAACAGCACCCAAAGTAACAAGGCTGCACTTCATTTTGTGTTGATTTAAAATCCAAGGTTTCATAAGAAAGGGTAAACTTGCATAATATCTTACTAGGCTGCTTTTAGAGGCTGAGGTGCAAGAGTAAAAGTTCAGGAAGACTGATAAAATTCTCCTCCTGATGGCACCTAATAAAATAGAAAAAACAATCATCTACATAGTGCAATACACTATTCAGCCTCCTACCGGGGCATTTGCTTAAGTACTCCTGTACTTATTATGCAAAAATAACACTGAAAAAGAAGTGCAAGAGGATGAAAAGGGGAATTTCAAAATGGTAAAACATTATCATAATGCTAAAAAGAGCTAAAAATCAGATATTTTCTGTAGAAAACATCATAATAGACACTACAAAAAAATACTGCATGAAGTCCTGTTTCCAAAATGCCATTATTGCATTCAAGAACTTTTACCTCTGAAATACTTTAAAAAAAAAAAAAAATTGGTACAAATATAGCAGACATTCCATGCATTTTAGAGGCAGATTTGGGGTCGATCATACCACCCTTCCTTACAGCAGCCTTTGCTAGAACTAGTTCCAGAAACAAGATAACAATTTCTATGTTTCTTATTCTGAATAAAAGATAGCATGCTAGAGCAGGTGGACAAAATTAGGAATCGAGCTATTAGTTCAACAACACAGACTGTAAGAGGCCAGACGGTCCAGCTCCTGCTCACTCTTGGCTTTATCCAGTTACTCCTCCCAGCACTCTCCTAAATCTCCTTTACAGGGACTGAGCCCTAAACTGTGAGGATGTAAGCCAGTCCATGCCACTCAGAGCCAAGGATAGGTCTTTGACCCGCTTTTATTTTTATATACATAGCTATAACAGGTGAGAATACAGGAAAGAAGAAGCACAAGCCCCATGGTCCTGTGTTGAATCTGATCTATTTTATTATGTCCTTATTTCTGTGATGCAACAAAAGATACGAAAACAATCCAGCATGAAAACATTTGGAAAGCTTTTGTGTTTGTTTCAAATACAGATTTTGCTATAATGTCACATTATCTGGAGTATTTATATGTCTAAATCCTCCTAAAATTATCAATATCTCATTCAAGAGAAATGTAAAATTGTTTCCTTTCAATGTGATTGCTTAATTACTTCCCATGTTTATAGCCACGTCTAAAGGGTCTACAGAGATGATGAATTTCTGAGTATTTAGGAAAATGACCTGCATGGCAGGTGCTAATTATTCTCTTTTAAAAAAGAAGTTTTAAATACTTGCACAGATTTCATATTTAAAATGTAAAATTTAGCTACCAAGCCTCATCCAGGAATACTACAGAGTCTCCAAAGTCATCATCCAAACAAAATAATTGCAGCACATTTCAAACATTTTGAAGGTAAACATTCAATTTATTAAATACTATTAACTTCCAAATATATTTTCCAACCTTGACAGTACATAATTAATTTGAGTGTATTCAGTTAATTAGAAGAGATCCTTTTTTGGTACAGCAATAGAAGCATAATTGACTCCAAATTTTATACGATAACTCACTCATTCCATTTGCACTCGTATTTTTGCACTAGCCCGTACACTACATTGAATACCTCTAAATTTATCTATTTTTTGGGTTACATTTATTTATTTTTGTGTCTCTATAGACTTGGCTGTTGCATTGCTGCCCCATTCCTCATGCTGCTTGGTGGTGGTGGTGGCGCAGAGGCAGGAGAGCAGAACTGCCCTGTCCCAGGAGGGGCTGCCCCTTGCAGACTGCCTCCCTGCTGCCCCCAGCGCACCAGAGACAGGGATGCACCAAGGGAGACCCAGGAGCACAGTGTCAGAGGCAGAAGAGGGACTTGATGTCCTCCTGTTCAGGGGTGGCAAGGATCGATGAAAGCATGGAAAACTCATGCAAATGCCAGCTCCATCCAGAAGCTGAAGGTTACAAACATGACTACCCACCTGCAGTGACTCTGCCCATCCACAGGGCAGAGAGGGCCATGTGGGTGGGAGGAGATGGTGGGACGGGGACAGTCCTGCTGTCCCACTCAGCACCATCCACCATAGCCTTCCCTTTGGCACCAGACACCCAGCAAAATGAAATAATTTTATCCATAAAGAGAAGAGCCAAGTGTTTGAAGTTACAATCTGTCATTGCAGCCTTGGGATACCAAACTGTTGGCAGGAGGTGGGAGCCAGCTGTGCCCTGTGCTGCACAGGAGGAGCCCCCACTCTCTTCCTGTCCCCCACACCCCCTTGGCCTGTGGCTGAAGGACAAAGTCTCTCTTTTTTTCCAACTTGCTGTCCTCTCTTTACAGCCCTCCATTGTTTTGCTTCCTTCTTCCCTTTGCCATTGACAAAGAATCCCTCCCCTCCACACCAAAAAAAAAACCCAAAAAACCCAAACAAACGGAAATCGGTATTCTCAGTTCATATCAAAAAGTCTATTCTTCATCGCAATTTTGTCCCTGAAAGATCACTCTGTTCTGCCTAATCTTCCTACTAAAAAAGAAATAGCGTGCCAGAAAAAATGGATTGTGTTCTGTTTATATGGCTGTCTGGGGGAACAGAAGGTTCAAAGCTGCAGAAGTCAACATCAGTACTTAATTTTAGTAGCTGAACAGTTTGCAATACATACGTTCTTCCTCAGCTCCTGCTTTGAAACAATAATCACATTTGGAGGATCCCCAACAGCCGTGGCAGCTCCCCCAATATTTGTGAAGATTACTTCTGCAATCAGGACATGCCTGGGATCAAGATTAAGTACTTCACAGAGCCTGCAGTATAAACAGAATGAAATTAACCTCTTACCCTCTGACTAAATTACCTTAAATCTTAACATTTATAAAATTTACAAAATGGAGTCATTCTAGTGAAAAACTACAGGATTTTAAAGATAATGTTTGTGTGCGCATGGATACTGTTAAAGTTCTAATTGTACTATATTATACATGCTACAGTAATTATAGCAATATAAATACAGAAAAAAGATTTTTTTATATTTATAGTGCAATAATTAATGGTAACAAAACATGGATACTGTTAAAGTTCTAATTGTACTACGTTATGTATACTACAGTAATTATAGCAATATAAATACAAAAGAAAAGATAGATTTTTTAATATTTATAGTGCAATAATTAATGGTAACAAAATTGATGCATTTCAAAAATAATTTCATTAACAGAAATCAACTATTACAAGAGCTGGACTACACAGAAAATAGCATTTCAAATTTTCAGCATCACACAACTTTTTAAACCATGGTCCTCAGGCTACACTGACCTATGGAAAACTATTCCAGGCAACCACAGGCTCTGCACTCAGCATCAGTTATTAACGTTTGTGTGGGGAGCTGTGGTAGAGGATTGTGCAGGCAACCTTTTAGCCATGAATCATTCATTAGAGACCTCAGCTTTCAGCCTAGGTTTATCTAGTTTATACCATTGCTATTTTTCCCCTTCTCTAAAGCTTGATCGTGAGTATTTCTGTTTGTAATGCAACAAGAGTAGAAAATACACATTCCTCATTATTTAAAAAAAATCTAGCTGTTGACAATTATTTAATACTTCTTTAGTAAAATGCTGCTTCTTGATAATAAACATCTCAAAGTGCCCTGACACATACTGGGATTTACTCAGTAACCTCATGATCCATTTCAACTCAGAGCCCACTCACACACAGTAATCTTCATGCAGATTACATCAATTCTCACAAATTGCATTTACGCACAGATCTGCGCAATCCCCTCATTTCTGAAGTACACGTTTGACTTTAAACTTGGGCCATGGTTTTAAAGGCTGAAAGCTGAGGTGTCACCTAAGCGCTTTGGAATAAGGAATGACTGCTTTTCTGCTCATGACTTATCAAAATCTTGCTCCGGTGTGTGAGGATGAAGTCCATGCTTAAATTATTGCCCCCTCTACCTAATACGGGATGTGGGGAAGACTGGCCAGCAACAATGCTTTCTCAAGATTGCTTTCACTATAGTGCTGTCACACATTTCCCTGAAGGAAGAGTTGAGCTTTACTGTTCAGTCTAAGTCTGTATTATTAAAACCTATATTTCAAAGGGAAAAGAGTGCATTGCATGAAAGCTTAGCTTGAAAGACTTACCAAGCGTGTCAATTTAAAACTCGGAAAAAATACTGTCAGATGACACATTTGTCAGCACGTAAAAACTTCAGAACAAAATAACAGCGCAAAAGTACACGATTTCCCCAATGGCATAAAACTATGCAGTTAAAGGGTACTTTGTAGTACAACTGGCCCAATTGTACCAATTGTAGTACAAGACCACAATTGTAATTTTAACTTCATCACTCCTTGATTTCCGAATATTTCAAAATATAACCTTAACTTTTCTTTAGTGAGTCTTTCTTTTTGATGGACCTAGTGATAGCTTGAAGAGAAGATCTCTGATGTGCACCAAGAAGGGCAAAGCCCAAGGTATAAAACCATCAGAATGTGTTACCTATGTGGTAGGATTGAACTACTTCAGATTACTTATCCTAGTTATGTAATTTCTCATGTGAACAACCGCTAGCCTTTTCCAGTAACTCGAAAATATACTATTGCTAAAAAGGGGTAGTTATTTTTTTATCAGCTTACTGAAAAATCCAGAGTGAAATAAGTATAATGTTTTATGCCTTATTAATGGAAATATAAATCCTTCTATTCATAGTCACCAAAATTTTCTGCAACCTTTACTTCCATGGCAATGACAGCGCAGTGCAACGCAGAGAAGCTGTAGGCAAGGGCTGAAGACAATGGCAGTAAGATAAAAACAAAAAATGACCTCCAGCATGAAGCCTTTAGAAACAGGCGATTATTTGGTTTTACTAGGCGAGATAAAATCTTATTTTAGCTTTGATAGTGATTCAAATATAAATGTTTCCCACATACCGAGTTTCCCCTTCTTCTGGGTTACAAACTCATTTAATATAAAACTAAAGTACTTAGTATACATTTAGTATAAAACTCCAGTGCTTAAAGGGTGGCTACAAAGACAGAGGCTCTCTCTTCGCAAGGAGCCACATGGAGAAGACAACAGACAATGAGTACAAGTTGCACTGGGAGTGATTACATCTCAATATAATTAAAATAAATTTATTGTGAGAACAATTAACCACTGGAACAACCTCCCCAGGCACGTGGTAGAGTCCCCATCGCTGGAGGTTTTCAAGATGCAACTGAATAAGGTGATAGATAATCTCATCTAGGCTCCCTTTTCCATGAAACTTTGGACCAGCTGGTCATTCAAGGTCCCTTCCAACCTGGGCTGTTCTATGAGTCTTTGAAATTGGAATAAGCGCTACAGTAGCTCTGCCTGTGGACAGTAGCTCATGATGCATTGATATCTGGATTTCAATCTATTCCCAATTATAGTTAAATCAAAATATTCTGAAACACAGCTAAAGAAAACTTGGTATTTAATAGTTCCAGAGTTGTTTACTGCTAGAGTTGAAATTATTGATTGGAATAAGGCAAAGTGTTCTCTTTAAAATATAATCAGACAGAACACAAATGAGCTTTCATTCACCAGCTGTTTCCCAATCTAGAATAAAATCCACTTGCAAAATTGGTTTTATACTACATTTTCAAGTGAGAACATATCTTAATAGAATTTTGTGTACTTTAATGTGATAATGACTGCGAACATCACATCACTCAGGATCATTTTCAAAACACACTAGATCTTTCAGAAACTGAACAGGATTAACCATATTTGCCTGGACAGACACAGGTTAAATTCAGCTTAAACAGTAGTTTATAATCACACACCGATGAAATGTAGTTGCAAATCACGTTATTAATTTACAGAAATCTGAATTAATTAACTTCACTGTGCTTTATTAAAAGTTCCAAATATCTAACCTCAAACTGTGGAATTAACCCATGGCTGTACCAATGTCATGATCATCAACAGGAAGAAAATTCCAAGTCTCATATTCTGAAACAAAGCTTTTAGCTGAAATCTGGAGGTTTTTAAACTTATTCATCACTAGTATTAGAAAGGATAACAACATCACTAAAACGTAAATTACTGTCTAAAATCGTATATAGATATTAGCCACTAAGGGACAAGGCAGCTTTAATTTAAAAATTCTCCCTCTTTACAGGAAAAAAACCCCTCATCTACTAGGGACCATTTGGTGCAATATGCTGTTGCAGTTCAGATATGGAGACAAACCAGAATAGTTAGCTGCCAAGGCAGTATAACAGGCTTCAGAGATATGCTCACCATTAACACAAAGGGAAAAGGCAGCCAATTCCATTGAAAATATCAGCTCTTTACCCTAATACAATAGGAGTATTTGACGTTTTGATTTCCATTTAGATGATTAAAAAAAAAAAAATCCAAACAAGCATTTTGCACACATCTACTACTGATTGCTGGCTATAAAAGACCAAGTCCAAAATCATAACAATAAAGTACCTTATGGTTACTGGAGTGAAGAGTAGCATAGTGGTAACGTTGTCCAAAAATGCAGAAAGAATTGCAGCAATGAGACACAGAAGCGTAATCATGGCCCACACCTTGCCTCTAGAGAATCGATAAGCCTAATAAACCAAACAAACAGAAACAAAATTAAGGGACTAGATCACTCTAGTTTAATTTCAAAAAATGATGGATAAAACAACTTCACCAAAGCTGAGGCAACAACGAGCTCAGAGCATTTACTACTCCATACACCTCCAACAGCACCCTCTCCAAAATTAATTATTTTAGCAAGAAAATATTTCTTGGAAGTGGGCAAAATTTTCCATCATGCAGAGGAAGAAACAAGTCTGAAGAGACACCATGCTCTACTGCCAGGCACAAAGCAGACTGGTGGCAGGAGCAGGGCTGAGCCGCCACCTTCTGCCTGCGTGCCCAGGTGGGCTAATATGGTTCAGACTTTGCAGCCCCTCCACATGCTGGACGCCTTCCCCATTCTCAGAGCAGTGGTACTGGGGCTACACAGTCTGGGTATCTATGTAGGCAAGGGTTGTGTTCATCCATGTTTAGTTTAGGCGTTCTGTACTCAAAGCAGTCTCCCTTGTCATTTTTTTTTCTTTCTGTACATCCTTCTCAAGAAAATTAAGCTTTGCAGCAGGTGAAGGAGTCCTCACCATAAGTAACACTTGCTTTACAACCAATCCATCAGAATTACCCTTTTCATGTAATCTTTGCCTGTGCTACTGTGCAGAGGCAAGGTCTGTGGCCATTCATCATGCGTGATCATAAAGCTAATGAGAGTCCCATACTTCTTCTCTCCCACTGCCAGGCATAAATACAGTTTTCAGCTACAGCAGAATTGCAGTCCTGGGGAAGTCAGTGAAATAACTCGGCTTTATACTGTCCATATGCTTGTGTACCCTACTGGGAGCCTTTGCCTTTCTTCTGTAGAAACAGAATTGCCTTAATGGCTTCCTTTCATCCCTAGGAGATTTTTCAAAATTACAAGTTGACCACTGTAATTTCTAATGTGATAAGTATACATTGCCCTAAGAAAGGTTCTTCAAAGATAGTGCTTGGTGTAACAGATCTGATTAAATACTAACTTGATTAATCCAGTAATAATTAAGAGTATCAAAACAAGCCTACCTTTACTGCACAGTAATCAAAGAATCCAGTCTCTGAAAATATGGCCACCAAAATCATCTACAAAAAGATGAAGAAAAAGAATAGCTTGCAACTGATTATTACACAAAACCAAAGCAATGTATTTTGGGATCCTGACAAAAGCCCTTCTTATCTGACACAGATCTGACAGTCTGATCACCTTCATATTAGGATATCCGCTACAGCTGCCAAATACCTCTTGTTAATGCATCATATGGTGAAATTCAATTCTCAACATAAACAGTCTGCAAATGTCATTGACAGGGAGCTTCTAAAGAAAGTCCAGCAGAGGGCCACTGATTAGGGGCCTGGAGCATCTCCCGTATGAGGAAAGGCTGAGAGAGCTGGGACTCTTCAGCCTGGAGAGGAGAAGAATGAGAGGGGATCTTATCAATGTCTATAAATACTTGAAGTGCGGGAGACAAATGGATGGGGCCGGGCTTTTTTCAGTAGTACCCAGTGACAGGACAAGGGGCAATGGGCAAAAACTGGGACACCGGAAGTTCCACACAAACTTAAGGAAAAACTTCTTTACTGTAAGGGTGCCAGAGCACTGGAACAGGCTGCCCAGAGAGGTTGTGGAGTCTCCATCTCTGGAGATGTTCAAGACCCACCTGGACTCTTTCCTGTGCAACCTGTTGTAGGGAACCTGCTTTGGCAGGGGGGTTGGACTAGATAATTTCCTGAGGTCTCTTCCAACCCCTACCATTCTGTGATTCTGTGAGTCTGTCATACTAGTCTGGCTGAATTTTATTTGTAGTGACTGAGTGGGCACCATACATTAAGTACTCAATGTATCTCCCTTATGTCATTAATGAAGAAAAACTATTAAGTGTGTTTGCTTTCTGCATTAATGCTCTACAGAGTGTAGAAGATAGTGGCTCCAATAATTACTTGCATTTTACCACATTTCTAGGAGGTTTCCTGTCCTTAAATCTACTCCCGACAGATTTTTTTTTTTTTTTTTTGCTTTTTTTTTCTGTGAGGTGGGCAGGGGAGTGGGGAGTAGTGTCAGGAAATAAGAAAAGCTCAGAATGGCAACACGTAATTGTAATTTTGTCTCTGTATATTGTGTATTTTGTATTAGAGTTTAATAGCGCTTGGGCAACTCTTTTTACCATAAATACCTCTGGGCAAAGTGATTAAAATGATATATTATTATAATCTAATCATGTATTTCTCCTCCATTTCTGGTTCTTTTTTTTTTTTTTTGGCTTCAAACATAGCACTGACTAAGACAAAGAAAATCACTTTTCCAGCAGAGTATGTTTGAGGAAGGTTTTCAGTAAACAAAATTAACAAGATAAACAAAAGGGATAATACTTGGCACTTAAACAGGTCTTTCCATTTAGAGACCTCAAGGATGTTTTTAGTATGTTATCAACATCATTTAACAGATTTTTTTATTAAAAAAAAGATAAAAGCTTCAATGCATAAATCCCTTAAGGCACAAATTTTCATCATAGCAGGCCTCAGTACAGTATAATTAACAAAACATTTAAAAACAAAACATCTCTGTACTGAATGTGATTATTTCTGCACATTCAGAGCAAAAGATACATTTTAGTTACCATTCCAAACAGCAGTGCCAATGTCTCATAATCAATCCACTCCACCACTTTGACCATACTTGGCTTCTGCAATCAAAAAATACAATTACCAGTGAATGCAACGGAACACCTAACTTGTGATTAGCTATGAAATATAAACTCCACTTAATTGATGAGCCATTTAAATAAGCTATGATGGAAAGTAAGTGCTCCTACAGGTACCCTTTATTGTTACTATTATTACTACTACTATTATTATCATTATTACTAATGGAAAGTACTGCTGGCATCCTAAGTGGGTCGTTATCAAAAACCTGCATTAGGCTATAGGTTTATCTAGTTGTTCCTTACATAGCATTACAGAAATAAAAGATAACCAAATTATATAGTAAACTGCAGTTGCCTTTTTGGTAAGAGAACAAAAGCACACTGCTACACCTGTGAACAAACTGCTAAGGGAACATAGCAGTGATGTGGTGACCAGTTATGAGAAAAACAGAAAATCAGTAAGACGTTTCATTAAATATCAGCTAAGAGTAAGCAGGAGGGAAACAAAAGGATTGGAATGTGTAAGCATGAGGTATAATTATTTAGGGTAGTATAAGGCAATGTATTTCCATTTAGGTTTGCTTGGTAACCTGACATTACCGAAAATAACAGTGTTAAAGTAACTCTGAATTAAGCTGAAAATGGTTGTACTCAGCTTCCTGCAAATCAGAACACAACAGGATCAACTGACTTTTTTCTGTCTTCTTGTCTACAACCTAGCCTGACTTGTTTTCCCCAAGTTACTTCCTTATCCCAATATCTGTCCTACCATCTCTCCCTTAAAAAACACTGCTCTGTCATGTGCCCAATCACAACAGGGCAAACACCGAAATTTGTTATATCATACCCAGAAACAACGTGAGCACTTGCAGTTTAATTACTTACCTCCCCAACAGTAGCTAAGGCAGCTAAAGCTGCCAAAGAGCCCAGCATTGCTGCAAGGGTCCTGTGAACAATCTGAAACAAAGGGTAAAAATTGACCAGAGACTCCTCTAAACATACTTCCTTACTATCAAGAAGGAGGAGAGAAAAGGATAAAAATTCCTATAGTTGATTCTTTTCTTGGTTTGTTTGGGGTATTTTTCCCTTATTGCACCCCACCCCCCTTCAAAAAGACCTGACCAGAGAATGGCTGATGACTTTGCCTCACTGTAGGATGTTATTGAAAAGAAAAGAAAAAAAAAAAAAAAAAAAAAAAGAAAAAAAAAAAGTCTGTGCAAAGCTCTACTAGGAAGTCCCAGCTCTGATCTCAAGGCAGAGAAGTGACTTCAGCACCAGTTTCTTATATTTGCCAACAAGTGACCCAAGAAGGAAAGCAATTTGTCTTCCCTAAATTAAGAATCAAAAAGCCTAGTCCTGTTGGCTTACCTTCACAGCCCATGGGAAGAAGACATGTGCCCAGGAGGTGATCCACCTCATTCTTTATAGGTGCTTGTTCATGTCCAATGTCTACAAAGCAATTCCCAAGCAAATCACTCATACCTGGGCAGTTGAATCCTACACATACACAGACATACTAGGCTTCGAGTTTCCATGTCCAGTTTGTGGTCTGGGACAAAATACATCTGGCAAGTCTGTGCACCTGCTTTCTGTCTCTCACACAGAGAGTTTTCTCCTTTCATAAAGTGTTTTTTTACATCAGCATTATCTCAACAAGCTGTTTTGGCTTCAAGAAAGCCATATACTTCTGCTAGGATCTGTTGGACACCTTTGCTGCAGTCTCCCCAATTCCTCAAAAGCTGCATTCACCACTATATAGACTAATCCAGCCTTGAACAGTGCTTCTCCCTGACCTCTGATGTTTCTCTAGCATACAAGAAATGCAACTGAAAATAGGATCTAAGCCCCTGATTACAACATAGACATTAATTTCATACTGCAACAAGTACTACATATAGTATATGTACATTTGTCCATGTCTATTTATCTAATGAATAACTTGCACTTAAAACTCTCAAGAAGAAAGTATAAAAGCAAGCATGCCCTGAAAGTGTGCTTTTTCCTCCAAGTGTTCATTTTTAGTTGTTTAATCCACCATGTCTGGAAGATCACAGATTGTGTAAAATAACTCAGTTAAAGTAAAAGTGTAATTAATTAAAATCACAGTGCAAAAGATCAAATCTAATTAAGAGCATTTACTACTAATTTATTTAAATATTATTCTGACACAAGTCAGAATTACTTCTGGCAGTCTAGAAATATTTTATTTGCTGCTAATTTCATAAGAAACATTTTGCTGCTAAGAAACAATAGAATATGGACATCTCAGGGCCCTCCTGCCTGCTTGTAAAGGAAAAAAAAAAAGTAAAGATTTGGTTTTGGTTTTTTTTCCTTGAACATAAATTTTTTTACAGTAATGGTAAACAACTAAGCAATTTATAAAACTACTAGAAAAATAAATATATTAATTAATTTAGGAGTCAAAAGAATAATCTGTCTCATTCTCCCATGTTTTTCTTCAAAATGCACTGGAGAATAATCTATTCATAGCGATAAAGCAGGAGATCAGATGAAAGATTTTATGTCCTAATGACATAAATGTACAGAGCAGAGATTACAGTTCCTGCTAGTTCCCACAGAAATGTGTATAAGTCTTTTGATTTCCAGTTTCAGAGCATTGACATGAATGCACACATATGGCCCTTCTGATGCTGCAAATGTGGGGGGTATTTGATAACCTTCAACAGTTCTTGTGGCTGACGACAGGCTGCAGTAATTAGACCTTACAGTTCTCTTCAATAAAAGACACAAAGCAGAGAT